ACACAATCAACTCAATCGGGCGCCGGAAGAGCAAACAAGTAGACATCGTCAACACTCGTCCTCGACCACGACGACACTGGATCTGGAATCGCAATCAAGTCTCTTGGACGAGGAGGCTCTCCACCCCCGGTTGCTCTCCCCCACAACGCGTGCGGTGCAGAACATGTTCCTAGGAGGGCAATCCCGGCCGGGCGACACGGCCTCACCAATCGCCGCGGCGATAGGCACAACAGGAGCTGCTTCTAGTAATGGCGCCTTTAATATTTCGGGAGGTTTGTTCGGCTCGCCCGCGAACACGACACACCACGCAACCCCCCCGTCCGAGGTGGTGGCGAACACCATGAGCAGTCTGGAGAGCAGCAGCAGGGTATTAAACCAAAATAATTCCAGCAACTCTTCCGGCGGGCTTTCGCCTGCCGGGCAGACACCCACGCGCACGTCCACCGGCAGGTTGAGGCTCGGGGCGGGAGGCGGAGGTGGAGTTCTTGCTGCCGCTGGCGGGAGCAGCAGTAGCAGCACGACTGGCGGAATGTTGAATCTGCCTCCAGCTACTGGTTCTTCGCGTTCCTCTGCAATAAATGTGAACAATGTTGCAACGATACCCGGCGCGGGTCTTGCACCAAATCAACAGCAGGCGGCGACCAATCAGCACTACCCCTACACGCGAACCAACAGTAAGCAAATAGATCGTGAGAAGGGCGGGTGTTTACTCGGCGAGCTTCGTGCCTCCGATCCCAGCAGTCGGAATCTCCACGGCGGACCCTTGGCTAGTAGCTTGCGAAAGCTGATCGATTGGCATTGGTACGTCTGCTTCGTATCGACGGTGGACGTTCCAAGCACAGCGTGCTGGAAGCCAGAGTTGGTTTTGGGCACGAATCAGGTCCGAGTACCCGCAGCACCGGGACCACGGGTACCGGGTGAAGGAGGTGGGCCTGATTTTATTTCAAACGATCCGACTGCTGCCTCTTACCGCACAACGGGGAGCACCACCGCCGTTGTCACCCTGCTGAGCAGGTCGAAGCAGAAGAAGCAGTACTGGGACATCATCAGGGCTTTTTTCGGCGGTAGTACATCAATTACGGGGCACGACGGTGTTGGACCACCAGCAGGATGCAAGAACGGTACAACAACTTCCCCACATCATCAGAGCCTCTCATCTCCGCAGCACCACAATAAAATCGAGGAACTACTAGAATCCAATTTCCCCTCGGGCCGCCGGATTTTCGACTGGGCCAGGCGGAAGCGACTTCGTTCCATCGCGGCGGCCAAGAGCATATGCACTGCAAAAGTATCGTACTAGTATAAATTGCAATACAAATTGGCTCAGCATTTTTACAAATTAAATTTGTAATGCGGATTTACCTAACCTACGAGATTTGTAATGCATAACTGGGATTACTACGAGTGCGATACTTTTGCACAGGATAGAGCAAAAGCCGCTACTTCATCACGGTGGACCCGAAACAGGAGCTCTCGCACTCGGAGCAGCACACGAGCCGCGGCAGCTCGAAGACCAGCACGGGGCATAATGGAGGTGGTGCACCGCCAAACGGACCTGCGCACCATCAGACAACTACCTCAGAGCCGCCTTCCGGCTGCGTCTCCGTGTCGGAGAAGGAGGACCAAACGACCGAGCACTCGTTTTCAACAGATGTAATGCAGCACACCTCTACTGTGAAACTGCAAAAGGCGTCTTTGAACAGCAAGAATTTCGCGATGAGAGTGGTTTTGATTGAGCTGGAAGAGCAGGTTTTGAATAACTATTCTATCCTGGGCTCCGCGATTCTGAAGTTCTTCGACCGCCGGTCCTGCGTGATGAATTTCGCCGGGGTATGTCGCTCCTGGCGCGAAGCGGTGGAACAGAGGCTGCAGGTGAAATCGATTATGACAGAAGTAGGGGGCAACAGTTATTTTCCTGCACGACCTCTAGTGCCTCCTGGAGTTTTCCAAGCAAGCAGGAACATCAACAGCACAAGGTCTGCTGGTGGTGGTGCAGCAAGAACGGAATCTTCGTCCTCAAGAGCAGTAGCTCTGTTCCGGAATTTGAACTACGAACTGGAGCAGGAGAACCTGCTCGCTGTATCGTAAGGAAAAATCCCCCCTCCCCATATCGAAAACGAAATTTGTGATGCTGATTTGTGACCACAAATCAGCTTTGTCTTGCAGTAGAGGACAGCAGGCCCATGATATCGTGCCGGAGTCGAGAGGTTTTGGCCTAGGCACATAGCATAGGGAACGCCTATGCCGTAGGCCCAGCAGCATTACAAACCGCCTGCATAATAGGGCGGAGCCTGCGGCGTTGCTTTCTTGCATCACAGATGCGATTTGTGCTTAAAAATCAGCATGACAAATTAATTTTCTGCGGCGTGCCTTATCGATATGGGGAGGGGGGATTTTTCCTCGCAATACGCTGTGGTCACCGGGCGGCAGTTTCGGATCTACGCCTTAGAGCCGGTCCGGGCGTGTCGGTTCGAGTACGGGGTGGACAAGAACGAAATTCTGAAGCTCGTACTTCTGGAGAAGCAGATGAGCGACCGGATTCGCTTCGCTTTGCGGTGCCTGGTCCCGTTGAACACGCAATTCCCCCTGGACACGCCGGGCAGTTTCTCGGCGTTGGTTCCGGTGGTGGGTCCTTCATCACCATCTTCACCTCCCTATTCTTTTTCGTCCAAGTTGTTCATCCTGAAGCCGAATCCGATCTACAACATGAATACCTCCGTTACGGGAGCTGGTGGTCCCTTTCAGTCCAATGCGCAGACGGCCAGGATGTACGTTTTGAAATTGAACCGGGTACGGTACACGCTGCGCTACGAGTGCCAGATGGAGGAGATTCTGCTCAAAAAGCACAAACCGGTCATTGGGGTTTGCTGTGTGAGGGGCGTCGTGTATTGCGTGTGCGGGGACGGGTGTTTGGTGGTGTACGAGGTGGTGTAGCAGGACGAGAATGAAAGAACACGATGAGAGAAACTAGAAGGGTAGTTAGCACAATATATTCGTGCAGGTGCAGCTGTGCAGCTGCTAATGTTGCCGCGTCCGAAGAAGTTGAAGTAGCGAAGATCTGTGATTGTCTTTATGAATCAACATGAAAATGATCTTCCTCGACCTCGTACTAGAAAAGGAATCGAAGGACGCAAATGACGCAAAGAAAGTTTCCGACGCTGATACGCTTCTAGCGATTTGTATGATTTCTAGATCAGCTTTGAAGTTTCTTACAATGCGGAGGAGGCAAAGTGAAGCAAAAGCGAAAGCAAAAAAGCACCTTGCTCGAGCTGCAGCTTGAGGAAGTGAGTCAGTTTGGTGTTCATCACAAGACGCCCACAGATCGTAGTTCACTAGACTGCAACATATTCTTCATGATCTCTGTATGACGACTGCGCCGAGGGATCGCTTTCGTTTCTTTCTTAGCCGCTCCATAACATAAATGCACTTACCGCCTTGTTACAGGATAATTCTGATGCGAGGAAGGTGGATGAAGATGAAACTAGCAGTGCACAGGAGGCCGCTTCTACCTTTTTCACTTTTCTCTGCTCATAGTTTATTTCTCCTCGTAGTTTTTTGTTACACTTTTTTCTGCACCCATTCCCTTTATCATTATCTAGGCCTGAGTAGAAATAAATTGAGATTTTCGATCGACAGCTGACTGTGGCAGAAAATGAGTCAGGCGCTGTGCAGTTGCAGATGGACGTTATGTAGTTTTCGTTGCAGTTGTAGGACGAGAATAAAGCTAGTGAATGTAAAGCAGTACTATTAGAGATACAATCAAATAGTTTACAACGTTGTAGTTGCTGCAGCGAAAAGGAAAATATTAATATTGTGCCCTACTCGCGTCTAGGCGAAGTAGCAAACTCTATTTGTAGTTACGTGATGAATGGAGAAGTACGAAGACATCTCTTGGAATAGCTACAGGATCGTACTACAGAGCACGTGCTGTGCCCTAGATGATTGTGAGAAGGTCCATGCTACAGTGCAGAAATAGAAAATGAAACTTCCCTGCTCCGGGATCATTTCACAAGGCAGCATAGCTCTTCCTTTTCCTTCTACCGTGATGTCTTAGTCATCTATTCTGTAGTTACCGCAGTTGTTTCTTGTATTCCCGCATCGGTTTCGGTAAGCGTAGATGAAGTTATAGTGGTTCTACTTGATCTTGAGGTTGAGAAAAGGGCTTTCTGTAATAGTTGTACGTGGATGAAATGGAGGTTAACTTTATTCCGTCGTTGAGATGTTAGTGCAGTTCTTGTTGCAGATACAAACATAAAAAACTCGAAGTTCGAATTGGATACTTCTTACATAGCACTTCGCTTTGTCTGATTGTTCTACGGCTGTCATGAAAAATTGTGAAACGCAGAGATGACGATGTGCCTACAAATGAAGATCTCACGGAGTAGCAAAAAATATTTTCTATTGCAGTTGGGTTTCGCGTCGGGCTTGCGGCGCAGCCACATGCTGGAGTTGTAAAGCGTCATGTTGGTCAACAACAACTGTCGTGCAGTTGATTCTTGTTTTCGTTGTTCGTGTTGTTGCTTTTTGTGTCATAGTACGCATATAATTTATGTCTCATGTTCAGGGCAATACCAATATCCCTCTTCTAGGTAGGTTATTTTCACAGGAAAAAAAGAATGATTTGTGGTCGCGATCATGAGATCAAGTCTAAACCAGGATCTTGCTCTTGTTCCTTCAACTAGCTCCAGCAGCAGGAAAGAAAAGAGGATGATCAAAGAATGAAAAGCAAAAAGAGAGGACCAACTACACACGTAGAAGCAAGAATCTCGCTCTCGGTCGTAGCGTCAAGAATGACGTTGAATGTCTGCTCGAGAAGTGAAGATGGATCAAATCGTAATGATCATTCGGATCTTTGCCAAAAAATGTTTTAAGAAAAACTCGAAGTCACGGTATTTTGGTGGGCGCGAAATGAAGACGGTGTTAGAGGTCGCTTGGTTAGTTTGAGTAGGCAGTACGAGGTTTTTGACCCACGACGAGTATAAACAACTTGTTCATCAGGTACTAGAGAAGACTACGAAAAAGTAGGGATAACTAGTCTCTCACATAATTTTTACATAAACAAAAGCAAAACCCACGTTGAAAACGAGGAAAAGAATAGAAACTGAAACGACTTGTATTTCTCTGCGATAAAAGATAAACGGAACAAGAGTAGTTCTGACGTGGTTTTCCAGGTGCTATTGCTTCTACAACATCGATTACGATTTAATATTACCTTCCGCACGACAATCCTTTCACTTTTCCGACCGTTAGCAAATCACCTTTTCTATTGCGACAGAAGCAGGGAATCATGATGGCCAAGTTATTTTTTTTCCCCTACTCCTTGGTCCACAAAGGACAGGGAGGCTTAGCTTTCTCGACGGCGTCCGTGAAGTTGGCAGTGGTCCTTTTTATTCAGCTGTGCGCATCTGGTATGACCACGACGAGTTTGATCGCAAGCAACCTCGTTGTCTCAGCGGTTCAGATGCGGGGCGACCGTGGAGATCGAGATGCAGACCACGCTTATCCCCCCGCCAATTTTTTCAGCGGAATGTATGCTAATTCTCGGCTTGTTTACCCCAGCACTGAGACGGCGCTGGAGCGACTTGAGGAGGCAGCAAGTGTGGCGGTTCCGGGAGGAGATAGTGATATCGAAATGGACGGGGACGACGAGGAAGCGGAAATAATAAATGCGGCCCCTGCACCAGCTACAACTAGAACTACTCCCACGTCGTCAATCACCCCGCATGCTATGGATTGTACCAGCAGCGTAAGCATTTGCACGCACCACGAAGGTTCACGGAGGCGCGTGGTCTCTGCTTCCAGTTCGTCTCCTTCCGACGAGGACAGAGGACGTCGTGGACCTGGCAAGAACACCAAGAAGACGGCGCGGCGTAAAGCAGATGGTGAATGTTCTTTGAGGACTCCATCACCACCAAAATCAAGGGACGCTATCTTGGCGGAAATCTTTAGCAATGGTCCACCTCGAAGCTCGTTTTCTGGAGCTGCAGCTTCCAATGCATCTTCGAGTGGTCTGGTTCCGGCCGCCGCCGTGCAAGGACGAGGACCTCCACAGCACGCCGCCAGTTCGTCTTCGTCCAGATTCAACAAGCGTCCCTCGACGCCGCCGCCTTCATGCGTTCCGGGCACGCGTTTTTACGGCGGACTCTGCAGTGGGGAGGAGCTGCATGCGGGGGAGGAGCTTCTTTTTGAGCGAATTCGCGAAATGTTTTCCCACGGATCGTCACAGTTGGCAAAGGAGCACAAGAAGGAGGATTCCGTTCAGACCATGCGTCAGCGATTGTTGAACTATCTGAAGTCAGAAGTCAGGCGCGGCGAGCGGCAGGCGCACGGCACTTGGGAAGCGTTTTTGGAAAGCAGGGGATGGAAATCCGCACTCAAAGAACTGCAACAGGCAGATAAGGAGATAGAGCAGTACATTCGCCGTGAGCAGTTGGAACTCGGAGGAGACGGCAGCATCGAAAAAAATATCTCCTCTCCGTTCGAGAGATACCGACATGCCTTGAATGAGCTACTGGCCTGCAGTCCAGAGTTCCTCAAGACACAGGTTGATAATGTTTTACACCCAGGGGCAGCTTCGTCGTCGAGCTATACTGGAGGTCCGACTTCTTGTTTGGCACTGGGGGGAGCGCCTATGCCTGCTGGATTTATTCCCGTCGGCCTCGGGGTCGGAGCTGCGCCTTGGGTTAGTGGTGTAGGAACAAGCTCTAACCCTCCACTAGACGTTTTCGGCGCACCTACGGGACCACCGCCAGAAATCGAACACGATGCAATGGCAAATGCCGTACCTTGTGCGCCTAGTGCACCAAGCGCAGAAGGCTTGGGCACGACGGATGGCGAAAAATTAAGCAACATGCTCGCGTTAGCACAATCTTTAGGGATGCTCATGCCTTAATACGAAAAAGCGCGAAACGAAGGAGGGTCGTGTTCTTCTTCATCCCGGACAAAATATAATGCGGACAAGAACGGCGCGATTTCATCCCCGATGCGCGACCCCGCGGGAATCGATGCTCACAGACGCCGGAGCTGCACGAATACTCCTGGTGAAAACGGAAGAAATTTTTTCTACTCACTGCTCCCACAGAGTTGGTTCTGCCTTTATTGTTTTCTGATGACATGTGGAGGATCTTATCCTAGTAAGATGAAGAACGTCGCTTGATGGTTGGTACTAGACCGTGTGAAAGGGATCGCCTGTCATATCAAGTCCCTCGTTTTACTCTGTCATGTTGTAGCCGTTTTCGATGCGAAGCACTAAGTAATTAAAGTTAAGGTTAACATTATCTCTCCTTCGCTCTCCAGATTGTGATTGTCACGCGAACTAACGTAGCCCGGCTACTCCCCCTCAAAATCAACTTCTTGTATAATTTCATTTAGGATGTCCGCTTCAACATTTAACCCACACTACAGGACGTGCACGCTTCAATTCTCAGTTCGCCTTGCTACTGTGCTCTACCTAAACTTCCCTTTGGGATTTTACTTTCTATGTATAATGATTTAGAAAGTCAAAGTCGACCCCGTTTTAGTTTTGGAAGAAATAGATTCCCATGTTCGTGGTGCAGCCCTACTTTCTGTATTTGTTTTGTATGATGAGCTTTTCTTTATCTTTGTGCAATCCTTTTGTTTTATACGATTTTATTCTGCCAGTGGAGCGGGTACGCGTTTGACCTTGACGAGGCCTCAAAGTCGAAGCGAGTCGTGCCTCCACTGTCGCCAATACTAGTACATTTTTCTTGAAGAAGATGTAGAGCTCTCGAACCTCTACTTCTAGAACCTGAAGCTGATTTGAATGAACAACATGAAGAACATGATGATGGTGCTAGTAGCTAGTGCTGGTCCCGAGGACAGCGCGATCTGCTACCGACTGTCGCGTTTATTTCGAGACACGAAATCAAAATCTGTTCGATCATCTGGACCAGAAACTACTCAAGTGGAAAATTACTATTATTCCAGGCAATCTTGAGTCTGTAACTCAATGCTGTAGCACATTCAGGGGAACGGCGTCATCGTAATGGTAAGAACGATGTCCTCCTTCGTGTTCAAAATCAAAAAGAAAAAGGATAAGGATAAACTGAGAAAAATAAAAAAAGATAAGTCAAAGTCAAGCCCAATATATTGCAGGAAAGGACGAGAATTCGTAATTATTAGGCCATATCGTTGTGGCGGGCCACCGAAGATCAAAAAACCGGAAAAGCAGAAGTTGTTGGTCCGTCTTGGTTTGGCTTTGATTTGGTAGGTCGTTCAGAAGCACGTGGCGCAGTTCTTCATCATACATGGTGTCGGTTATGATAGAAAGGATAGCTTATCCATTAATCCCAGCAAGATGCCGCCCGATGTAGTACCTCGTCGGCGGTTGCTCCGTCAGTTTCGTCGGCCCTCTACTTCACCCGCAGCAATGCCAATGGATTGCATTTTCACGAGTCGTACTGCGTTATGCGTACGCCAGAGTTTTGCTGCGACTGCGGGTCGTTCTGCACACGACCAATCTGTGGTGTTATACTCCCCCTTCTGCACGGCAAAGTCCTGCTCATCCCTCCAGTCGTACCAAAATAACCAACTGCATCTTCGCAGAACGTTGACCACTTCGGTTTGCAAATTCGGTGGTACCAGTATGGCCACGAAGGACAGCATTGGAAAAGTGATGGACATCGTCTTGGGCGCCTCAATATGCATTGCAAAAGCATCGTACTAGAATAAATCGCAATACAAGTTTTTTCAGAAGGAAAAATGGTGTTTGTAATGCTGATTTGGCTAAGAAACAAGATTTGTTATGCATGATTGCAATTAGTTTTAGTACGAGTGCGATACTTTTGCAGAGCATATTCAACATCCTCTTCTTCATCACAAAGACCTCCACCCGTATTAAGCCGCACCGGAGTAGTGGTTTCCGCTCCCGGCAAGCGGTTTTCGAAAGATACGAAAGTGACGGACTTGTTGATTCAGTTTCACAAGCTGAAAACCGGTGGTGGCGGATCATCCGCAGGCATGAATAAAAATGATGAAATATCCTATGTAAAAACGTACCCACCCCATAGTCAAGATGGGGAATCGGCTAGACAAATCCAGAAGCTTTGGCTGTTTCGGATGACAAATTTGGACGCGTAGTGTAGTGCTGTTTGAGCTAGTTCAGCAGCATTACAGATCTAGTCTCTCATGCTGATTGGAGCATGACAAATTTAGAAATTGCTCCTCTTGATGGGGCTCCGCATGAGAAACATTTTAAGCATGCAGATTTGCATGACAACTATGGTGTGGGGACGTTTTTACACAGGATATGAAAACCTCAAAACCGAGCTGGAAAACCTCGCCCTACTGATTGAAGCCCGGTTTGACGAGGCGTTTGCAGTACAACATCAAATGGAGCTCCTGCGACCGTCCTCGAGTTGTACCGTCGAAGAGAACAAAAGGACCAACATCGCCGAGGAATTGCTGCGTTCCAACGACACCAGCTACGATTTCATCGTCTCGCGAGGCGAGTACTTCTGTGGGAGGAAGATCGCGGAAGCCTTGTCGGCAGAGTTTCTAGATCCCGCGGAGGTGGTACACTTGCGATCCACGTCGTCCCAGCGAGGAACAACAAGTTCAACAACTGTAATCGACTACCAGTACACCATGGACGCAATCCGAGCGAATTTGCCGTCAAGAGGTGGCTCAAACCCATCAGAAACAACTACACCGAAGATCACGGTTCTGCCTGGGTTTTTCGGCGTTGACCGGACCACGAACACGATTCTTGCGCTACCGCGCGGTGGCAGCGACATTTCCGGGGCACTGCTCGCGAACGCGATGGAGGTGGATGAGTACGAGAATTGGACGGACGTTGACGGAGTGTTCACCGCGGACCCGAATTTGATACCGACCGCGAAGAAAATCACGGAACTGTCGCACGACGAGTTGTTTCTGCTCGCGTCAAATGGAGCCCAGGTGTTGCACCCGGAGACGGTTTTAAGAAATACAATGCGGGATGAAAACTACGCAGCGTCAACCACGACAAGAGGAAGTGATCGAGGCTCCTTTCAAATCCCGATTCACCTTCGGAACACATTCGACGCCACGAAAACCGGGACGAAGATTGTGCCGAATGGGATGGGAAATAGATCCGGGAGTGGAGGGGGGCAGGAGCCACGAGTTCTGGGACTGGTTGCGAAGAAGGAACTATCCGCTCTATCGGATGAAAGTGAGCCTTTAGAAGAGAGGTTCAATGTGGCGGTCATCGGGTTTCCTGCGGCAGATCACGCGGCTGGTAGTTCGGATGGAACTCCTCCTGCTGCGGTTGCGGGGTCGTTGCGAAAAGAGGTGGGGAGGGTGGTCGGGGAAAAATGTGTTTTTGATCCTACTGATGTTACTGGTGATGGAAAAAATCTGCCATGGTTTGAAGTGCGAAATGTATCAAAGGATGCTGTGTGTGAGCTGCATGCAGAGATTGAAAGGCTCGGCTTGTTTTGCGAAACAAGTTGAAGGTGTCACCAGTCTGTCAGAACCCAGTCTAAGCAGAAGCAATGAAACTGCCGAGATTTTTAATTTAGAGGAAACCTCCACAGAAAGCATGCCGCTTTTGTTGAGGTTGTTGTTCATGCAGTCAGTGTTGGTGCCGCAGGATGCCACATGCCCATGCGAGTGACAAGCGGAAACCATTTTAAATCAGTCGCTCACCAGCACTGTGCTTTACTAGCGGGGTCCTAGCCTGCAACTTCGTGAAAAGTCAAGAAGACCTGGAGGAGGGCAGCGCTCAGACACAGAGTGAACCATTTGATGTCTACGCGGCAGTGGGAGATGAGTTTCTTGAGACAACTGTTTGTATGATCCAGACATCGGCTACATGTTTGTGTTTCTCTTTCCTCGTGACTCGATGACGAGTGAGTTTGATGAATAAGACGCGAAAATCAAAATGGTGCTCCACCGCCTAGCCGAGCCGCTGTTCCCCTCGGTCCACCACTTGCAAATCCCGTCCTACGTGCTAATCCCGTGTTCGGTGATCATCGGGGCATGGCTGGTTTTTCTTTTCCTCTGGCTCCAACTCGACCGGCCCGACAAAACCGGCACATATCAAGATTATGGAAGCAGATTCATTCTACTGATCTACATTGTGTCCTCTGGCGCTGGCCGGATCAGCTTGTACGGTGAAGAGGTGGCTGTTGATCCTCACGCAAAGCAGGTCGTAGTGCAGGATGAATTCCGGCATTGGAAATTAGAACTTGTGTAGGAGTTGATGTGAACCACAAACTCGTTCTGCTTGTTCGGTCAGCTTGCTAAAAACAGAGCACTGAGTCGCAGCCAGTATTGTTTCTGTTTCATACACCTCCCAAGGACTATTCTTTTCCGCGATGGGGGAACACGCACTCAACAGGCTTGATGGCGAAAGACAAGTAATTTTTTTCTTAACTGGTACTTGCAGTTTCGGGTTTAGCAGACGAAAATAGATGGCTCGTGTGGAAAACGGATGAACTCTTTTTTTCTAGCTCTCCGTATCTATCACTATCCGTTGTCTGAACCTGAAGGTGTAGCTGAATCAACTATCTTTACAGGGCCATCATCATAATCGGCCTGGTCACGCTGTTTATGGCCGTATGTTTCCTGGCATCCGTCGATGTGGACAGAGCGCAGGCAGGTGGAACGAGTTTTATGATGGTGCATTTTGTAGTAGTGTTGCTTGAACATCAGGACCCGGACACAGCCAAGCAGTACCACCTTTCGCAATCAATCTGTCAAACACTACTTACAAACATTCTATCCAGGCGTCGCTTTCTACTTCTACACGACGGTCGCCCTCTTCGCCATACTTGGTCTCCTTGCCGCTGGGCTCTACGCGCACGCCGCCCTCCGAAATGAACTGCTGTCCAGTTTTTTCGTGCTCGCGGTGTTTACGCTGATTACCGCGTATTCCACCGGGATCTTCAACTTCTACGTCAACGTATCCCCCTACATGGCCGCCCGAACCGGGAAGCACTACATCTCCGTCGTGCCCACCGTAGAGGCGTCCGCGTTTCAGGACGCGGGGCGGATCGACTTCGGGCCCATGATATGCATTGCAAAACAAGTATCGTACTCGTATAAATGCATTACAAATTTCCCCAGCATGAGAAATAAAATCTGCAATGCAGATTTACCTTAAGAACAAGATTTGTAATGCAAGTCTTGCATTTATACGAAACGAATACGATACTTTTGCACAGGATACATGACGAGACTGATGGACGACACCACGGTAGGTTACAAACTGAACAACGACATCTATTGCACCGCCCCGATCGTTGACGCGAACGTGGAGCAGCAGAACGACCGGCCGACGCTGCAGTTTTTCGCGGTGGGGAAGAATTGCTGCAACCACGAGGGGCGGTTTGACTGCATCGACGCGAATTCGTTGCTAACCGGGAGCTCGGACGGCGACACGCTGCTCGGGGGCTATCAAATGCAAATATGTCTGGGTCGTCTGGAAGAATTCGAATTTGTGATGCGAAGTCTACATCATGGCAAAATCTGTCATGCATGGCTAGGAAATGGCCTCACTTCTTGTTTCCGAGAGAGGGGATTTGTCATGCGGATTAGGCATTGGGTGGAGAGCTGCTCAAAATCTGCGATGCTAGAGCTTGCATGCCAGACGATCTGGGTCAGGCAAGAACTGCATGACAGATCTCGCATTCTTCCAGACCCAGACATTTTTGCAGTTGATAGGGGCTACACGGTGTCAAAACTGCAGACCGTGGACGAGCTGGGGTTTTTTCAGAAATGGATCAAGGACCTGAACAATTTTTTGGTCCACGGGGTAAAACTGCAGAAATCCGACTTTGACATTTACCGGTCACAGGCCGACGCGGTCGCGAAAACGGTGCAGCGCTCGGTTTCCGACGACGCCGTGTTTGTGGAGCTGGGGTCCAGTTCCAGCACGACGTACTCGGAATCGTTGGTGTCCATACAAAACGCTCTGACCGGGAACTACTTGCAACTGGATTTGCGGCTGAACGCCACAGCGAACCCGATTTGGTACTACGCGAAGGCGCCGAGCGGGAACACGTATAACATTCTCACGGTAGACAAGAGCACGGACCAGTTGAAGTACCTGGGAATGGACGTAAATACCGGCGAATTAGCGTTGAAGCCACGAGATAGCGGGACTGGTATTCTATGTTGATTTGTAAAGATACTTGCTCGTCTTCATATACCTACAATAAGTAGAACAGTCAGCAGGAGCGCTTGGTTAAGCTTTGCCAGACCTGCATTCTCGTCATATTTCTTTACAGCAATACGTGATCCTCTATGTCTATCTAAGGTCGGGAAAGGTTCACGCTGAACGCGGACGGGGGTCCCTTCCAGCTCGCGACCGGCGAGTACTTCGCCAGACAAGAGACGACCGAAAACGGGCAGTCGATCATAAAAGCGGTTTTACTCCCTAACCCCCCGGTGCCGGCGCCGAAGTTCCGCATAGTGGATCCGAATAACTTCGAGAACAGGCGACCCAAGCAGGAGATAGAGCACAGATTCACCTTTTTCGGGCCGTTTTTGCTGTACGGTAGCTGGAGCGGCCTGGGGGTGTGGTTGGTGGCCGGCTTTCTGTACTTTCTGTTCCTTATCATGGTGCTATCCGCGCTGCGTCCCGGCGAGCCAGCGAAAACTGAAAGCAACCTAACCGATATGCCAATAGGGGGCGGCGCCGCAGCAGCAGTTCCGGTACCCAGGGAGGCGGCGATGTGAGCAGTCCGTCGTGGCAGTTTGCGGGTGAGGTCAGAACAGAGCCAACCATAGGAATAAACGAGAATCGAATAGCTTCGCCCGCTGGGTGTGAAATCGCAAACTTGCGCTAGAAGGTTCAGTTTTGTGGAAAATTCTTCTCCGCCCGCGGTTCGCTCTAGCCCGACGGTGCACGCTGCCGGTACTTCGTTTTCCCCTCGTGGCGACGTCGAGGTGCTGAGTCGTGCTCGACGAAGGACTACTTCGTGTAGCGTACGACACCTGCTTGAAGACTGACTGACGGACATCATGCCAACCTGTGCGTCTCTCCTCACCGCTTGCTTGCAGACTGGTGGAAGCTACTGCTACGGCAGCTGACGAAACGATCACGATCGAAAGAGAATGCGTTCGACGTCTGTCTTCGATGTGGCACACAACAGGTATGAAGAAATTTATAAGACAATAAGCATTTTTGCACTACAGTGTCGTACGTTCGGCGTAGGTTGCAGCGAATTTTGAATTGACCACGTAGCACCACGTCGTCGCGAAGGAAAAATCGATATTCTAATACTAAAAAACAGAAATCATCACGGGATCGGTGCGTTGTGCGAACAGGGAAACGGGGTCGATCAAGAGACGGGAATCAGCCGGCAAACGTGGTGAACAAAAAAAACGTCTTTTGGGTCTTGCAGTGTCCACGGATGGTTGTAATGATATACTCATTATGTTTCTGAAGCGGAAAAGATGAAGTTTCTGGTTCGACATGTCGCCGAACTGGACTACAGCTGTCCAGTATGTGAATAAAAAATTTTGTAGTAGTGTCCACACGGTGCAAAAAATGTACGACGAAAATTTGCAATTAGAACGGATGATATGAGACGCGCACGACTTACACGGAAAGATTTGTTCGCCGCGTATGTGACGTCCTCGAGGAATCAAGGACGCGAACAGCACGAATTACAGGTTACTGATGATCTCGTGCAGGTCGAGATGGGTGAAGTGCTGATCAATCGCTGATGTTGTAAATGTATAGATCCGGAAATTGTTGCTCACGCATCAAAATTGGAGCCACTCACCAATATATGAAAAAATGTAGGATCTACAGTGATCGCATATGATCGTCGTGCACGACATACGTCAGGTCGTGGGGAGACTGTCGTACGACAGAAGAAATTTTGATCGTGATGGGGTTGTCGTACAATAGACGGAATTAAGATCGGGGTGGGATTGTCGTGCAACGTCATAGTATCCGAATGCAGTTAGTGATCGTCATAGTAATTATGTTCAAATAGTGAGTTCATGATGCAAAAATGAAAAAATGAATCTGGATTTTTCTACGCCACAGTTTTTCACTCGGGTCGATTGTACTGAAAGTTTTTTCACCTGCGGTCCACCCAGTGACGTCTTCGAGTCCATCGTAGTTTAAAAAATTATGACTTTTTTTATAGGGAGTTCTGGAACTTTATCAACGTTTATCAATCGATCGCGGCTACGTAAAATATTTGCGGAATAGATAGTCACAACTCTGTACAATCGGACAATCGTAATCAATTGCAAGCATACTTTTAGGCTTTCAATTTTTTTAGCACGGGGATTTTTCAGGTGACTCTATTTGATTAGACCGCAAGTGTAATATTTACAGTTTATTCTATACGCGGAGAGCGACTGAGTAACCCGGGCGGCACGGAATGGTGCGGCGATGCAAATTATCGTTGAGAAAAATAGGTCGTCGTGGAGTATACCACTTGATGCATGCATGAATGGCGACAAAGAAAAGTTGCATGTAGTTGGTGGGATCTGTACATGGGCCGGATTTTGGTGTGAAGTGAATGGACGGAGAATATCGCCAGTCGCCGAGCGTGGTCACGTACCA